CAACATCTTTTCTTCTCATTTCTTGCCGCCCCTCTAACAACGTTAAACCCGTACTGCGCAGCAGCCTCCTCCGCCCACCCAAAACCCATCGCAACACCATCCCTCCTCCCCACCCTCTCACACTTTGCAAAAAACTCCTCTCTCTCTCTCTCTCTCTAGCGTGTGTGGTGAGAGTGCAATTTTGTGATTTGCCATATTCGTGGACTCATGGCATTTTATAATTTTGAAGGAATGGTTTGACATTTCTTTAATAGCAAATAGTGTAGCCGGGTGGCTATACTCTGCTCGAGCATTATCGGCTATACTCGGGCATTTTAAAAAAACAGGATAGCCGTACGGCTATATTCGGGTATTCTTATAAAAATAAGTATAGCCGGTTGGCTATACTGGTTTTCATACGTGGCCCTACAGGCGCTAGGCGGGTCCCTTTTTAAATTATTAATAGTATCGCCGTGCGGCTATACCCTTTTTGTATTTTTCCAAAATACTATAGCCGAACGGCTTTACGCAAGTAGTTTTTTTATTTTTTTTTTTATTGATCTGAACTACTCGAATCAGTGCCTAAGCTCCCTACCATCAATTTCTCCATTGAAGTGTTCATGATCATGTGTTGCAGGTTTTGGTGATTGCATCTATGCCAGAGTCAGACCGAAAGGAAAATGGTATTTGAATTTACTCATGAATGGAGAACTCATGACCAAAGAAAGCTCAAGCCCAGACAAAGAAAAGTGTTACACTCTCTGAGATTTCTGTTTAACTTGAATTTGGAATTATATGATAGGGAAGACTGGAATTAATTGAACCTTGGTTGTAAGTTATAACCAAACCAAAGAAGCTGAGGCAAGCAAGTTATTGTATGTAACAGGTGGCCCAAAAGTACAAATGCCAGCCTATATGCAATCTGACTGTAATGGAGCATATCAGATTGTTAGTTGTTCTTGCATGATCATTATGTGGCCTGCTCTGCAGTACTGCTGCAAATATCCCATCTTCCTCTTCATGAATTAGTCAACCATAGAAATTAGACTACTTTGTATAACATAACATCAATGGCTAAGCTAGCTCTGCCAGGTCCTGTTATTTCTTTCCTGCTTCTGTTCTTCTTCTTGGGTACGGTAGAGATTCGTGGACTCTTAAGCTGCAAAGTTGATGTTTTTATTTTCATCAATGGCTAAGTTGGTAAGTTGCGCTGCTACTTGGCCTATAGCTATATACAGCAGTAGCAACGTTATTATTGACGAGAGGAACGCAGGTGGATTGGATTGGATTATTGAATGTGTGCATTCAATAAGTAAAGTATAATTTCCGGTGATGGTATATCTTCTAGAAGCCAGAAATTTGACTATTAGACAAAATCCTTTATGTTTACATTGCATATGCAGAATGTCTGCTTAACTTTATGTTTCCTTTCCTATCCTTAATTATTTGATAGGAGGATAAGGACCTCCACTGCCAAAGAACTTATAGGAAATCCAAATCTAATATCTCCCCTCACAACAATAACTTCATGCTCTATCATCACTACAAGAACTTCATTCATGCACTCCTCCACAGTCCTTTAAAAATTTAATCTTGATTTTATTGAGTGTGACAACCACATCTTGCATGTTAATCCTCTCTTCGGGCGATTCTACAGGACAAGCTAGCCCTAATCTCATAATGGATGATAAGCAATCCCTCCTGCTCACAATATCATGATCTTCCTTGGTCCCAAGCAAATCGCCATCCATAGCTTCAACTATTGCAGCATATGGAAACAATGAATTTGCAATTCATTTCTTTAAATTCATTTCACCAACAAACATCTCATCTGTTGGCTTCCTTTTTGTGAATGTCTCCATCATTACAATACCAAAACTATAGACATCCCCTTGTTGAAACAATTCCTTCCATTCCAAACTCTGCAATATTATATATATACGCCAATTTAGTTATATATAATGAAAATAAAATTAGAAGTTGAAAAGTAACCACAACAGTACATCACCTGGAGCCATATACCCAATTGTGGCTAGGGTCATGATTTGGGTCATAGAATCTCCCCCACCTAAGAGTCTTGCAATGCCAAAATCAGCAACATGTGCAACCATATCATCATCTAGTAGTATATTGTTTGGCTTCCCATCACAGTGGACAACTTGCTCTGAATAACCATGACCATGATGAAGGTATTCCAATGCTGACGCAACATCTATCATTATATTCAACCTTCCTAGGATATTCAAAGGAGAATTTTGAGAGTATACAACCAATTGTCAAGGCTCCCGTTAGGCACGTATTGCAGTGCTAGGGCTTTGAAATCAATCTGACTGCAACAACTGATCATGATTTTGATAAGATTTCGATGACGAATATTGCTCAGCACTTCACATTCATTATCAAAACTCTTGAAAGCCCCTTCAAGCTGTAAATTGAAAACCTTTATAGCAACATCTATCCCATCTGAAATTGTACCTTTATATATTGAGCCAAAACCCACAGTGTCAAGTAAGTTGCTTTCATCAAATCCATTCGTCTCCCCTAGAAGTTCAAGGTGTGAAACTCTTCTCCAAAGAAGTCAAGGTAATGAGGCAGTCTTTGTTGCAACTTCCACTTTCCTTTTCCTGCGCGGTATGAACATTGATACAGAGGCCACCTGGAGTATTGCTGATATGATCCCTGGAATAATATATTTCATGTTGGGTGTTCTGGGCTTTCCTTGAATTTGGTTGAAGTGTACTATTTTGGCATGGTGGAACGTGGAGTCGGGCTTCACCACAAAGCGCCCCATTCGATACCTTTCAAATATAATATATTTACCAATCGGCTATGCATAACATTTTTTAAATAGTAAAGCCGTTCGGCTATGCTCCGGTTTTTTTCAAAAAAAATGTATAGCCGGTTGGCTATTTCTTGTTTTGACGTTTTTGGTTTTTTTATACATAGTACAGCCGATCGGCTATAATCGGTTTTATTTTTATTTTTTTAACAATAGTATAGCCGCACGGCTATACTAGGTTTTTATGTTTATTATTAAAAAGGGTATAGCCGGTCGGCTATACCTTTTTTGACACGTGGTGCTATTAGAAAGGCAGATCCTTTTTTTTATATATAACAGTACAGCCGCTGGGGTATACTCGGTTTTTGAAATGTTTTTAAAATAATCGTATAGCCGCACGGCTTTACGGGGCTTTTTGGTTTAAATTTTTTTAATAAATAGAATAGCCGCGCGGCTATACTTTTTAAATACCCTTTTTCTTTATACAAATTTATAAATAAACCCAATCCTAGACATGTATTTATAAAAAAACCCAAGTACTATTTAAACATAGAAACACACCCAAAATCAACTTTTTGGGTGTATTTATAAATGGATTTTGAGTGAGTGTAATAATGGGTTTTGGGTGTGTTTATATGTTTAAATAGTGCTTGGGTTTTTTTTATAATTTCAACTCTCATTTTGGGTGTTTTAATGAAACTCCCTTTTCTTTATTTATTTTTCCTGTGATTTTCGTTTATCGATATGAGTAGTTTAGAGCGTTATCCATTACTATTAGACCATTACCCGAGCGAGTCTCCATTGTCTCTTTTTGATTTTTTTTACTTTAACAGAGTTATTACCTAGAAAGAATTTAGCACTTTCACGTTTAATATTGTATTAATAATGCTACTCTTAACACATTTGTATACCACATCCTTATACCATCTTATGTGGCAGCTGAGGTGGACATCCACATCAATTAAAATTATTTAATATTTTCTTTTCTTTTATGATTTATTCCAGTATTTGTTTTTCTAATTGTCTTAATTAAAATACACTTCATTGATTTAAGAATAATACTAGTCTTACCACATTTTTTATACCACAATTTTATACCACATGATGTGACAGCTGATGTGTATATACCACATCATGTAAAATACTAGTTTTTATTTTTCTAATTTTATTTATTAAAATACACTTCATTCATTTAATTGATGTGGCATATGCCACATCATGTGGTATAGAAATGTGGGATAATAATGTGGTAAGTGTAGCATTACTCTTGATTTAATTGATGTGACATATAATAGAGTAATGCTACACTTACCATATTATTATCCCACATTTCCATACCACATGATGTGGCATATCCATATCATATGCCACATCAATTAAATGAATAAAGTGTATTTTAATAAATAAAATTAGAAAAACAGAAACTAGTATTTTACATGATGTGGTATGTACACATCAGCTGCCACATCATGTGTTATAAAATTGTGGTATAAAAAATGTGGTAAGACTAGTATTATTCCATATAATATGGACATGCCACATCATGTGGTATAGAAATGTGGGATAAAAATGTGGTAAGTATAGCATTTGTATTACACACATACATATGTATTTTTCAATAATACATGTCTTAAAGACTCGGTCAAATTCACGTTTTTTAAAAAGCAAACGTACAATACGTATTGTACATGTAAATACATATTTTTCATGTTTAATACACATTTTTTTACAAAATTTACGTATTATACACATAATTCTCACATCATATTGAAGAAAGATATAGATAAATTATATTAAGATATAACATAGTGGCCGGTTGGTAGTTCCAACGGTGATCACCTTCTTAGATTCATCAAATATACAGTACTAGAGGACAACAATGCCATCGTAAGGTTTCCGAGCCACACAGACATGAACTTCACCACCACAGCATGATGTCGCTGGCTTGGAGGTTAGAACAAAGGAAGGAGATTGGATTAATGTTGAGTGCAAACCCTCACAAGTACAGTTAGTATTGTCCAAGTCAAATAATCCATGCCCCAGTCTTGAATCACAAATTCCTCTGAGTAAGAAAAACATGTTATTCTCAATAATTAATATATTTTGAATGACTAGAGACCAATAATTCTTAATTGAACTAATATGTATATTAAAGTATAAACAATTTATGTCTTCTAGCCAGAGAGTTGACTTTATGCAGAATGTTTGCTTGACCTTATGTCCTTCAAAAACTTAATCTTGATTTTATTGAGTGTGACTAGAGCTTCTTGCATGTTAATCCTCTCTTTCGGCAATTGTGCACAACAAGCTATAGAGCTAATCTCATAATGGATTATAAGCAATCCCTCCTGCTCACAAAATCACCATGTTCCTCTGCCCCCAAAAAATCGGCATCAACAACTTCAACAATTGCAGCATCTGGAAGTAATGAATTTGCAATCCATTGCTTTAAATTCATCTCCCCAACAAACATTTCACCAGTTGGCTTCCTTCTTGTGAACGTCTCCATTAGTACAATACCGAAACTATACACATCTCTGGTTGAAATGATTAAAAGAAAATCATAAGGTCACCTTGTTCATAATGAAGGACAATATATATAAAATTGTAAAGTAAACAAGCAACAGTAAATCACCTAGAGCCATATACCCAATTGTGGCAAGGGTCATGGTTTGGGTCATAGAATCTCCTTCACCAAAGAGTCTTGCAATGCCAAAATCAGCAACATGTGCAACCATATCATCATCAAGTAGTATGTTGCCTGGCTTCACATCACAATGGACAACATGATTCGGACCACGATCATGATGAAGGTATTCCAATGCGGATGCAACATCTGTCATTATATACAACCTTTGTAGGATATTCAAAGGAGAGTTTTGATTTTGAGAGTACAACCACTTCTCAAGGCTCCCATTAGGCATGTATTGTAGTACCAAGGCTTTGAAATCAGGTTGACTGCAACAACTGATGATTTT